GAGGGAAGGAGGGAGGAAAGAAAAAAGAAAGAAAGAAAAAAGAAAGGAGGAAGGGAAGGAGGGAGGGAAGGAGGAAGGAAAGAAAAAAGAAAGAAAGAAAGAAAAAAAGAAAGGAGAGAGGGAAGGAGGGAGGGAGGAAAGAAAGAAAAAAAGAAAGAAAGGAGGGAGGGAGGGAGGAAAGAAAAAAGAAAGAAAGAAAGAAGGGAGGGAGGAAAGAAAAAAGAAAAAAGAAAGGAAGGAAGAAAGGAAGGCTACGAAAGCAGTTTGTGGGTTGATGTGTGATTCAGGGCACCGCGAAAGCACAACCGTCAATTACCAGCCGTCGGCTCGGCCAAGCTGATGAGCAAACAGCGAAAGCGAAAGGAAACAACCGGCCCTTCCCGCCGCTTTCGAAACGAGCAGCGCCCCAGCTCAAATGACCGGCCCTACCAGAGCGGACGCCATCGGGACCCCAGACGAAGAAGGAGGGGCCTTTTTCTTCCCTGAGCCGCTTCCAGAGCCCATCAAATCGCCCGAGCTCTAGGCCGGATCAGTCGAGCTCCGATTTTGCCTCCTCAGCTGGAGACAGGTGAAAACGCCTTGGAAAGTCCGCCGCCGCCTCTCCTCGAGAAGGAAAACTCGGAGGGAGAAAAAGGAGTTGTGCCTCTTTCAAAGCCGAGGTCGGACATCCACGCCATCGGCACTCGACTCTTCTCAATACGGCCCTTCCGCAGGGGGTGTCGAAGTTGGGCCTGTTGCCTAGAGACAAGCGCGTCCAGCAGCTCTTGCCAGTGATTGGTGGAAGCCAGAAAGGAAGGGCTGCGCTGAGAAAATTGAACTCTTCGCTTTGAGAGTAATGTTTCGCTTGAGACTGAGCGGGAGAGTTATTGTGACATCCAGTAGACGCTTTCTTCAAGTGGCGCATCTTGAAGCTATCATCCTAATGATTCCAAGGACTGCACATGTTATTAACGTGAATTGTGGTTTGTCCCTGTCCTCTTCCACAATGTCTTTTCGACTTTCCAGTCTAACCTAGGATTGTCTTAGCGGTCTCCAGTTCAAGTCCTAAGATGCTGCTTAGCAATATCACTGCTGGATTTCTTCATGCTGAGGAGGAAGGGCTTAATTTCTCTCAACCTGTTCCAGAGCCTGCAAATCATAGAATGAGAACTATAGCAAACACAACTTATGTACAGGTGTTTCCTCGGAGATCAGATGGGAGTTCTTTGTGCTCTCTGAACTTGGTTGTTTACTTGCAGACATTTCATAAACCAAGCTAGGATTTTTCTCCTCTAAGTCTTGCTTTCAGAATAGGCACCACCTAAATTGTAGGTACCTATTTCTTGAAAAGGTACCACGTAAACAGGCTGGTAGATTGTATAACTTGAAAGCAAGAAATAAGGTATTGGAGTATAGCTCAACTATGATGCTTTGACATAGTGAAAGAAACACTTACTGGTTGTTTGATGCACATGCAACATTTGTATGAGTAATACAGGACACCCTACCAATTATATTGTAAAACTCTCATGAAGAAATTGAGAAGAGACAATTTGCCTGGAAAATATCAGTGGTTTAGCTTTAATAAATAAATTATTCTGATATAAAGTAGTAACATAACATGGACGAAAAGTTATTAACATTCTACTATGTTAATAGAAGCATTAAAATTTTATACAGAAAAGTGTTGTTTTTCAGACTATGAAAATCAAAGCTTGGTAATAATAGCCTTTATTGTCATTGTACATCATATATACAAAGAAATTGGCTGTATACAATGAAATTGGTTATGCAATCATTACAGAATCACTCTTAGCTAAGAGACTACACCCATCAAATGTTTGACTTCTGAGGAGAGTTATCTGCCATGCCTGTCAAACTGGTTTTGAGGGGAAGGCTGAGCAGCTCACAGGGAGTAGGAGTATGGCTCCATTGGCTGTGGAAGTAACTGGGGAAGGGCAAAGTCTGTCTTGGCAGAGCAGGGGAGAGGTAGAGCAAGGCAGAGGGAATTCAGAGGAAGATTCAGGCCACCCACTCTTCATCCTAGGGCATGCAGGGAGGGACGAAGAAGGGAGCAAAGTGACTTGTGTGGCTTATGGGGGAGGAAAGGGCCCTGATTCCCTTCATCAGCTGCAGCTAGAAACACTGTTTAAAAAAGGAAGCTACGCACAGCAAAGTTGTTGGAAGCAAATGAGTTATGTTATTGTCGAGGCTTATCTGGGTTCCTGGTGTCTTCCCAACTGTGTGTTTTGTTGGCTTCTCAAGTCTGCAATTCCTTATCCTGCCCTTTCAAGTTAATTGCTGCAGCATGGTTTGTGTGGATTTTTATTTACAGTTTGTATGTACTTTGTTTCCGGAGTGAATTTCCTCCACTTAAAGACTGTTCTTGGGAGAGTTTTTCTCCAGTCGAAGGTAACCTGGACATTGGGAGCAAAGTTGGAGGTATTAAAGGGTCTCTCCTTATTTGACTGTGTTGCCTTTGTGTCACATCCCGGGTCATCACATATCTGACTACTGTTGCAATAGTTAAGCTTCGTGAAGTCTAAAAGCTACCAGGGATGCATTGACTTAATGGAAGGGGTGTTTAAAACATTTATATAGCCACCACATTAAGTCTGGGAGATTCCCAATGAACAGCTAAAGCATCAGTAAATAAGGCATAAAACATTAAATGAACTGCTCAACTTTATCTGCAGCAAATTAAAGTATTGAAGCTCAAAAGGATAGGAACACTAAAGGCAACATTATATAGCAATAGCAGTAGCACTATATACCGCTTTACAGCCCTCTCTAAGCAGTTTACAGTCAGCATATTGGCTCCAACAATTTGGGTCCTCATTTTACCTACCTTGGAAGGCTGAATCAACCTTGAGCCTGGTGAGATTTGAACTGTCAAATTGTAGGCAGCCGGCAGTCAGCAGATGTGGCCTGCAGTACTGCATTTCAACCACTGCGCCACCATGGTTCATAGCATAGTACACTGGAGATTCTCATGCAGTATTTTCCAAATCACAATACTACCCTTATCTTACTGTTAAATAAATGCAGCTGAACTATTAAACATTTCTATCCTGTATACACATGCTTTCATTTCCTTCTTCCATTATCACACTATTTTATAATAGTCCCCAAATGATTTTGTCATACTTTTGTGTGAATAATATAGCAATAACATCAATAGTAAACAGGCCAGAAAGTTACAAAATACAAAAACATGTTTTTACATAAAGCCTTTAACAGTATTTCATAGTGAATCATGAATTGAAGCTGGAGAATTATTATTTATGGATCTGTTCTAGTGTCCATGGAGACTGAATATTTTTCATACACATTGTATTTAAACTTCACTGTAGTAATATTCTTTAATTTCACATCCTAAAAACAGTTACATTTGTTGGAGTGCTCACTACCTTCAATGACTCCAGTGGCAAAAATGAGATGAGCTGCAAATAGGATCACCATCAATGATAAGATGAAATAGGGAGTAATCAAGCGAAGAGTAATTCAAAATGGAATGAGAACAGTTGGGCTTTAGAGGTGAAGGAACCCAATCCACTAGGAAAAGGAACTTTGAAATCAAACCTGAATGAAGACAATGACAAACTATTTCTGATATACTTAGATTGGAAGTCACTTGTCACAGAAGAGTAATAAACTGTTACAAGTAGATCTGAAATTAATGCATACAAGGAAATTTGTTCACATGTAGAGTTAGTATTGAAAGATGAGGCCTTGTTTTCTCATGGACATAAACAGTAACAAGGGTGCAGACTATGAGAAGAATGAATCAAAACTTGAAATTATCAAAGCAGAAATGAAGAATATTATATTGGATATTATAGGATTTTTGTTTTTATTTTATTACTGTAAGTTCCAGAAAAAACAAAAGAGAAACAACAGGAACTTAATTTTAAATATATAATTTTGACCACACAAGATAGTATTCACCTGTCTTTTCATAATTCAGATAGTGAACACAAAATGAACACATACTGGTGATCTAGGATTGTACTGTAACTATCTTTGCAACACTGAACATTTTTCACCATATTTGCCAAATCTATAATTCTTTACATAAGAATAAATACTCTTGCTGGCAGTATTTATAACATGTTGGTATCTTAATTTGGACCATTTTCAGTTTCAGAGAGATCTGTTTAGAACTGATAGTTAAAACACACAAAGAACCCTCACACAATATTTATAAATACTTATTAGTGATAAATCAATTTAATTTATAAAATCAATGCACACATTTTAAAGAATAGAACAAAAATTGGTGATCCCCACTTTGTCTAAAATGCAGGAACTGTCATGTCTGTATCAATAACTTCAGTAGACCTTAGACTATGGATTAGTTAACAAAAACAGTATAGTATTTTGGATGGATTGGACTCCTATTGCACTGATATATCAAAGGCATGAGTAAATCACTGTGTTGTTGTAGTTGCAATGAACTACATCACATTCATAAATCGTTAGGAAACTGGTTTGCAGTGTCCTAAAATCATATTCTGGGAAAAGTCATTGTGGACATTAATCTGATTTTGACAGGACTTAAGTATTTTTAGATGTCCATATTCTGTTGAAATACATACCTAGTACATGGAAATTGATGACTGGACAATGAAAATGGATTCCTGTATCCTTCTTAAGAAATTCACTGTTAAAATAATTTATAGTCCCAATTGCTCAGTCGATTAAAAAAATTAATGGATTAAAAATTTCCAATTTAAGAACAAACTGTAATGGAATATGATTGTATGCCATCAATTTGTCAACTCTTGGTGACCACATAAGGACATTTTCCTCCATGAGTCAATTTCTTTACATAGATTTTTTCCATGGAAATGGAATACAGGAAATCCTTGTTTAGCATTTACCTCTTACAACCACCATTCAGAGTTACAATGGTGATGGAAAAGTAACATTGTGACAATTCTCACATTTACCACCTTTGCAGGTCTGTAAAGCAAAGGAAAGCTGACATAAGATTGCAAACACAATAATGGTTTACTTTAAAATCTGCTTCATTTAACAATCAAGTTGCTGCTCCCAGCTGTGATCATTAAAGGAGTACTGGTGTAGAATATGGTAGTTTTAGCAATCCTGTATTAAATATGGTAATATTAAAACTTTACATACAACATTATATAAATACATATGAGATGACCTCATAATTGTCTTGCTTTTTTAAACCTTTTACTATATTATTTCTTCTAATTTCTATTCAAAAACATTTTTTAAAAAAATATATATTCCAAGTCTTTGTATATAATTAAAAAAGTACATTTATATCTTCAAATAATATTGATTTTTGAACATTAATAATTTATGAAATTAGGGCAGCAGTTTACAAACTTATTAGCATTTTTCAATTTTATTGTACACATATTGTGCATTGACAATAAATGTTTGATTTGATTAAGCCAAGCCAATCCATTTTCAAGATTCAAAAGGCCAGGAATGTGACAAAGAATTTTGTTGAATTACTTTCATCTTAAATTCATATTAAATACACTTTTGATTTTGTTTTTATTGAGTACAAACAGAAAGAAAACTAACAATACAATTAAAAAGAGAAATGTTTGCCTTCATTCCAGAGAAATCAAAAATAATAAAGCTGAAAATTGTAAAATTATTCCTCCCCTCTCTATGATAACCATATTAATTCAATTCACTTTTGATTAAAACTGCCTTAATATTTTATACAGCCATTTGAAATAATTTAAAAGTACAG